TCATCCGAGGTCATTGGTCCCATTAATTTTGAAGGTCATTCGAGGACATTGACCGCATTAATGTTAAGGTTATTCGAGGTCGTTGATCTCATTAATTGTCAAGGTCATCGGAGGCTATTGACCCCATTTTTGGGGCATCAAATTGCATTTCCAATGTCATCAGAGGTCATTGTCCCCATAAATGTTCAAGGTCACCCGAGGACATTGACTTCACTTTTTTGTTATCAAATTACATTCTCAAGGACATCCGAGGTCATTGGCCCTCCTAAAATATGAAGACCATACGATGTCGATTGCTCCGTTTTGTTGTGATATCAAATTACATTTTCAAGGTTATCCGAGGTCATTGCCCGAATAAATTTTCAATTTCATTCGAGGGCATTGGCCCCCGTTTTATGTAGTGTCAAATTACATTTTTAAGGTCATCCGAGGTCATTGAACCATATAATTTCGATGTGATTGGCCTACATTCTTAAGGTCATTCTAGATCATTGACTTTTTGGGAGCGTTGTCCTCTGTTAGTAACCTTGCGGTGACCTTGGAGAGTAGTTCAAGGTAAAGTCCAAAGATCACTCGCCCCCGCTCTACCCTGTCGTGAAGGTATCGATCAAAGGTCACTTCACGTTCCCAAATGATCTTTTTACAAACTAGAGGTCAGTTCAAGGTCACATTATTACGATATAAAGCGCGTCGGTGTAGCTGATAATTCAGTCAGTCGGTACCCTGAATTAAAGATGGATTTCTCCGAATTAAACCGTAATACGTTGTGCAAACCTTTTAAAAATCCTAGTGAGCTTGAAGTATCGAAAATGTACGAAGTGTTGGATATTGATGTGATTAATACCAAGTACGGAGAACGGATAATAATAGATACCCATGATTTTAAATGTATATTACCTCAACGCTTTTTTAACTATTTCAAAGAAGGGAACCGCATGGAGGAATTTAAACAATCGTTAAAGGCACGTGATGTGTACATGGCTAGTTCGGGTGCAGTCGGAAAAACGACTAATATAACGTTCTCTTCATAGTAGTAATGTGTGTTGACCATGATTTAATCAGGACGTCGATTGTAAAATATTTAGTTGTAACGTAATTGTGAACCAGTAAACTCATCATTTAAATACATAATGCAGGAAGCAATAAATTCATTTGTGGAACGATCAAAGCTGCGAAGTACACCTTTATATATGGATACACCAAATTGTTGCAACGGTAGTGCAAATAATAATAGTTTAATATGCTGCTTACCTCGTCAAAATAGTGATGATAGTAGTGCTACTAACCAAAATGTAGAAAGTGTAGATGATGGTTCTTCTACAATCGCGGAATGTGCATCGTTACGTGACTATGATAAAGAAGTGGAGGTGTATGAAAAAGCGCTCAAAGAAAACTTAATCGATTGTGTTTATTATAAACTATCGAATAGCAAATATCATGCAAAGTATGTGGAAATCGGATACAGCACATACATGAACCTTGCACCGGTACTGCGTATTGGAAGCGGCAACTACGAACGAGGTAACGTTATGGTTATGAAACTTGAAGAATGGAATGACCTTTTGAGGTGGTTTTCATACGTGGAGGTACAGTTTTCACGATCCCAGGAAACCGAGAGTCAAATTAATTGGTCAGAGATTAATGACGTGGAAGACATCATGGAAGATCAGCAATATGAGTTACTATCCAACAACATTGGTATCTACTACAATTGGGAATTAGTGAAAGGTTATGGTAGCATCCTAAAAACTGTATCTATTGAAATTTACAATTACTGCTCATGTACTTTTGATGCTTGTGGTATAGAACAACTATTTGAGTTAAAGGATATCATTACCTATCGATTAGAATTCCTTGAATCATATCACTTCGAGTCTTTCTTTGAACAGTTTATACAACATGTTGTTAACTATCGTCGATTTCGTAGGATAGAATTCGATGATGGGGCTAATGATGATATTTATAAAGACATTGAGCATGTAATTAATTTTAAGTATAACATTAATTCACACAACATTGTATGCCTAATGGAAGTTTTACATCATCGTCCTGCTTATTTGATGTACAGCATTTACTAATGATAACAATAAAGAATTACTGTGACTGATATTGTTTTCTTTAAGATCGCGATTTAGGTATAAATAGTCCGAATGATACACCTAAGTAAACAATGCTCGTAAAGAAGCGCAAGAGTGCAGACGGTTTAGTGAATTCTCTAATCAATAAACTTCCAATTGAATTGCACCTACCTGGTTATCAGTATTGTGGTCCTGGAACAAAATTGGAAAAACGACTAGCGCAAGGTGATACCGGTATTAATCAATTAGACGCTCAGTGTAAAATTCACGATATCAGCTATAAAAAGTATCCTGATTTAGAAAGTAGACATAAAGCGGATAAAATATTAGAAGAAGAAGCTTGGAAACGCTTTAAATCAACAGACGCAGCATTAGGTGAACGAATTGCGGCTTTAGCAGTTGGTAGCGCCATGAAAATAAAGAGAAAATTAGGTATGGGGACAAAACGCCAATGTAAGCAAAAGAAGAAATCCATACGTAAACAAGGTGGTACTTTAGCTTATTTACGTAAAACAGTAGCTAAAAACATGAAATCCAACGGAAATGTAGCCGAAACAATAAAATCGGCACTAACAACAGCGAAACGCACGGTGAAGCGGTTAGGGGGTAAAAGAAAAATCAAAATACCTAGAACGATTCCAATACCGAAACAAGGAGGGTTTTTACCCTTAATTCCGATATTCGCAGGCCTATCGGCGATTGGTGCATTAGCAGGTGGAGCATCGGGAATTGCAAAAGCAATTAATGATGCTAAAAATGCAAAAAAACTACAGGAAGAAACATCACGTCATAATCATGCCATGGAATCTATAGCCATAGGTGCTGATAATAAGAAAAGTGGCGGAGCACTTTATTTGAAGCCATACAAAACTGGTGGTGGTGCGTTGTATTTAAAATCGCATTCAAAAAACTAAAATTCCCCGAAAGGCCGTTAACCGATGCTGATATAATAACATTTGCCAAAGGCGTACCCTTCTTTCGAAGTGTGTTCATGCGCGATAACTTACCCAAAACACCATGGAAAAATGAAAGTGGAGTTGTAAATTTAGATACACAATCCGGTCCAGGAACTCATTGGGTCTGTTATAAAAAGCGCGATAAAAAGGTTTGGTACTACGACAGTTTCGGTAGTATTCGACCACCTATTGAACTGGTTAGCTATTTTCGGGGATGCAAAATCTATTATAATTACAGTCAGGAACAAGAGTTTAATACTACGAATTGTGGACACCTGTGTTTAAAATTCCTATATAAATAACAGTAAGTGTATCGGGGCTAGTTATGTCCACAACATTCAGTTTAGAAGGTGTTGGTAATATAGCAAGCTACGATTTTTATCCACCAATAGAACTAGATCTGAACAAGAAGTACGTTATTGGATTGGTAGGATTTTACGGATGTAACAGCATCAGAAACATCTATAAAGGCAACGATAAATTTTACTACAGGAGAAGTACGGAGACCAAGCATACTAGTGTCATTTACATTCCTCACGGCGCGTACGAGTTTGATGAATTGAGTGCCTTTTTAAAATCAAAGATACCCACAGCGGATTTCACTTTGAGAGCAAATAATAATACTTTAAAGTGTGAAATAAAATGTAGTTTTGCTATTGACTTCACAAAAGAAGATAGCATTGGGCGCATGCTTGGATTTGAACGAGTCTTGTTGGAGTCTAATACGTTACATCTGTCTTCGCTGGATATTCAAATAATCAAGCACACTAACATACACGTTGAGTGTAATATTATAAGGGGTTCCTACCGTAACGGACAACAAGCAAAGGTTTTGTACGAGATTGACGTTTCAGTTCCTCCAGGATTTCGACTTGATAAAACACCAAGTAGTACACAATATTTGGAAGTGAACACAAACACAGTTAGCAACATAACTATAACATTGACTAATCAAAAGGGTGAAGTCATTGACTTTGGTAAAACGGAACCGTTCACAGTCAGATTGGAATTAAAATAATATGGGTTTAAGAATTAAACGAGCTAGTCATCTACAATCCTTTGAGGATGCATATAAAAGGACGAACACAATTAATTCTATGTTTATTCGAAATCGGTCTTCGTCACATACGAAGCAAGGAGGGGAATTAAATTCCTTCGAAAAACAGTTTTTGCGATCAATCGGTTTAACAGTGCTCAAGAAAAGAGTGGGAAATGACCGAAACGTTAAATATTTTCCAAGACGTACACTTTGATGAAGATATTACTAAATGGGATATCCATACGTATCTTCCTTATAGTTCATCTAACTACGGACTGTCTGAGGAGATTCGTATTTTAATTCAAAGTCAAGATCTAATAACTGCAACATGCGATAGTTTTCTGTATATCGAGGGAAAAATAGAGCGGAAAGCTGAAGATCATCTTAAACAATGTCACCTAACCAACAATTTTGCAAGTTTTCTGTTTGAGGAGCTTCGTTATGAATTGGGTGGTCAAAGAGTTGATGTTTGCAGAAATCCTGGAATTACATCAGCATTGAAAGGGTACGTTTCGTATACAAATGCTGAGAGTAAGGCGTTGGCTCATTTGGGATGGTCGCCACAAAATGAAGAACCTTTACAAGTTGAATACACAAAAACAGATGACAACGTATCGAAATACTTTTCGGTGTGCATACCGCTTAAACACATCTTTGGCATGATGGAAGATTATCATCAAGTTATTGTAAACATGAAACAAGAGTTAATTCTGATTCGATCGAGAAGCGATGCTGATTGTTATCATTCCGAGGCAGATGCAACAATTAAGTTGAGCAAAATCCAATGGAAAGTGCCTCATCTCACACTCAGCGATGCTGCAAAACTTAATCTATTCGAACGACTCAATAAGAATGTTGCGATTAGTATACCTTTCCGACAATGGGAGCTGTATGAGCTTCCGGCACTTAAGCAAGCACCGATGGATATATGGCCAATCAAAACTTCAACGCAGCTAGAAAAACCTCGATGGGTAATTGTTGCATTTCAGAAGAATAAAAAATTTTCGAAGTCTGAAAAAGCGGCAAATTTTGATAACGTAAACATCAGAAACATAAAGCTACATTTAAACTCTGAAAGTTATCCATATGAAGCAATGCACCTGGACTTTAACGAAAACAAATATATTACGGCATATCAGCAATTCTTAACCTTTCGACAGAATTACTACGGTAAAGATGAGCAAGATGCCCTATTCGATTATTCCCAATTCAAAAACTGTCCAATTTTTGTGATTGACTGCTCTAAGCAGAACGAAACGCTCAAGAATTCAACTGTAGACATCAAGCTAGAAATCGAATCGAGGAGTTCGTTTGATGTTGGAATAGTAGCGTATTGTCTTATTCTACATGACGCACTTATTCAATACAACCCCCTTACGGGTGAGGTGAAGAAGTTATAAGAAGATTAGTGATAAGTGATTATTATTGCTATTATTTACTATTATTGTTATTATTAGTGGTATTATTGTTATTATTAGTAGTATTATTGTCATGATTATAGGTAAATATAGTGTGTTTAATCAGACCGCTGTAGTCTTATTCTATACGTCTTAAGAGGTAGACGTTGGTCAGTTAAGAATGAAAGTAATTCCCCAAAGTAGTAAACTACCCATAAGGAATCATGATGACCTCATTGAAAACCAAAGTGTTGTGGGTAAGCATGGAGAACTGCTACCAGATACAGTACGTGGTATCATATGTGGTCCTTCAAATTGCGGGAAAACGAATACGATGTTCAGCCTACTAACCGAACCTAATGGTCTACGCTTCAAACACGTGTACGTCTATTCCAAATCACTAAATCAGGATAAATATAGACTATTGGGGGAAATTCTACAGCCTATGAAGGACATAGGCTTCTTCACCTTCAGCGAGAACACAGATATTATGGAGCCCAACGTTGCGAAACCTAATTCAGTTTTTATTTTTGATGACATCGCTTGTGAGAAACAGGATCACATTAGAGCATACTTTTCAATGGGTAGGCATAACGCAATCGACTGCTTCTACTTAGGGCAGACTTATTCTAAAATCCCCAAGCAACTGATTAGAGACAATGCCAATCTAATTGCAGTGTTTGAGCAAGATGAATTAAACTTAAAACATATATATGATGATCACGTGAGTCCTACGATCACTATTCAACTTTTTCGCGAGATATGCTCGGAATGTTGGAAAAATAAATTCGGTTTCTTAGTCATAAACAAGGATGCAGGGCTGGATGATGGTCGTTTCCGGAAGGGATTCGATCAGTATATAATGACGTAACCTTCCTACCATTACCTATTTACAAAGACATCGTGAAGGACAAACCATCTCATATTTGTAGGAACCATCTGAAAACGCCAAAGTGAACGTGAACCCAACGCGAACCTGAACTCCAATGTCAACGCGAACACGAACGTTAACGCGAACGTGAACGTAAACCCGAACGTGAACGTGAACCTAACGCGAACGTTAACGTGAACACAACGCGAACGTGAACGTGAACCCAACGCGAACGTGAACGTAACGCGAACGTGAACGTGAACGCCAACGTGAACGTGAACCCAACGCGAACGTGAACCCAACGCGAACGTGAGCCCAATGCGAACGTGAACGTCAACGTGAACCCAACGCGAACGTGAACGTGAACCCAAACGTGAACGCGAACGTGAACCTAACGCGATCTCGAACACGACAACCAAAAACCTAAAAACGGGCAGCTTCCATACGTGCTCTTTTAATCGTTCACCCTTAACGATGGATAATAAAGAGAAGGCATTGAAGAAAAGAATAATTCAAGCTCGTAAGGCTATTCAACAGAAGTATAATCATCTTAAAGCCGATCGCTTTAGTAAACACCAGGAGTTTGTACAAACCTATCAACCATTGATCAAGCCACTATCACGAATCGCTAAGAAAATCGAACCATCAACAGAGAAAGTGATTGCGAAAGAGGAGCGAGAGGACAATGAGGAGAAGGAAGAAGTGTTTACAAAATCGTCCCCGAAACGAAATCATTCTTCGAAGAGTAAATCACCTCAAAGTACACCTTTGGCATCATATTTCTCAAGAATAAATCGGAGCAGGCCATCATCTCTTAGCGATATTAGTCCGCTCGCTCGACTTCCTTTTTTTCGGAACAATCCTCCATCTCAGTTACGCGATTTTAGCAGGTATCTTCAAGCTAATCCTCAATCTCGATTGGCTACTCCACGAACTCCATCATTCCTACAGAGCACTGTGATAGGAGAGGTGCAGCCTGAAGATGAAAACCAAGAAATTTTATCAGATTCTACATCTTCAGCATTAGTTCTTGATGAATCAGCCGCCTCGAAAGAATTTTTGGAGCAATACGAACATCTACCGCGCATATACGTTGAGCGTATGATGCGAGATACCAATAAAGCAATTGATACGACTTTTGGTATACATTATGACGTAGAAACTGATAAGTGGACCATTGGTAACACTCCTGTAACGATAAAGGGAAATGATTTGGTTATTAATGGTGTCCAGTACAAAGGTACTCCAGGGCTATATGACCTCATCATTATGAATGTTCCCGACGAAAAACTAATTACTAATGAAGACAGAAAGAACTATAGACAAATTTTGTTGGCCACGAACGTAGTAAGACGCGACTGCGATTCTCAGGGACGATTACGTAGTAACAAAGGCTTTAAATATACACAAATAATTAAACCTTTACTCATGGATGAGGTGGAGAGTATAGGTGCGAGGTCTGGAAGCGGTGCTACTTTATTCAAGGAACTTGATCGTCCGATCGAGTACAAATATTGGAACAATGTGCACGAGTTGATACAAGACTTACAAGTGTTATGGGCCGAGAAGATGGCTGGAAATACTGGATTAGAAAATGAGATATTATCAATTGTCGAAGAGCTCCATGAAGATGGTTACATCGAAAAACCTACCGAGCGTTTCCTTAAAAGTTTAGCAAACTATAAATAGTGGGTCACTTAAACTTGACTTGGCATAGCAAAAATGACTGTTGATAAATTTGGACGTTCACGATATTACCAAAAAGCTTCACCGCATGTTACAATGACTAGCTTTAAACTAAACGAGTCTAATCATTTCAACATGGAGAATAGGAGATTGACAAACGTAGCTGACCCGCTCGAGGATCATAACGCAATTAATTTAAAATATTATTCCATCACAAGATACGATCAAGGTGGCAATCGTTTAAGACGGGTAGCTGATCCCGTAGAGGATGATGACGCAGTAACTAAGAAGTTCCTTGAAACGTACATTCAAGATATTAAGACATCATTGGACAGTCACAAGATCAACGTGTTCACGTTAGGACGAAAAATAGGAGAAATTAAGGAGCTCTTAACCAAACTACAAAACGAATGTCCAAACAACAAGTCGTAAATGAGATACATAGACCTGCAAGGAAAAATTTTTCAAGAAGAAGAACCGTAATTAAGGGATTTGATGATCTTTGGCAAGCAGATTTAGGAGAGTTTACCCAATACGCTAAACAAAATAATAGCTATAGGTATATTCTTGTGGTTATTGACTGTTTTTCAAAATACCTTTGGACCAAAGGGCTAAAAACGAAAACGGGTGAAGAAGTAACTAAAGCTATGGAAATAATTCTTAAGGCAGGTCGAGTACCGAAAAACATTCAAACTGATGCTGGAAAAGAATTTTACAATAAACATTTCCAAAGGCTGATGCAACAAAACAAAATCAACCATTATTCCACATACAGTACGAAGAAAGCTGCAATCGCCGAACGTGTGATTAGAACAATAAAAAATTCTTTATACAAAACGTTTAGTATGCGCGGAAAATACAAATGGATTGATGTATTAGATACCGTGACGAGCGAATACAACAATCATAGACATCGAACAATTGGTATGAAGCCAATTGAAGTGAATGCAGATACAAAGCTCAGTGCTTATACGCACATAAAACTCTTTAATAGAACACATCGCTTTAAGGTCGGCGATGTAGTGCGTATCAGTAAATACAAGAGCATCTTCGAAAAGGGATATACTCCTAACTGGTCTTGCGAGCTGTTTAAAATTACAAAAATTCGCATCACAAACCCTGTTACTTACCTAATTGAAGATATGAAAGGAAATCCCGTATTGGGTGGATTTTACGAGCCTGAATTACAAAAGGTTAAAGATCCTGACGTATATTTGATTGAGAAGATCCTTAGACGCAAGAACAACAAAGTATACGTCAAGTGGTTGGGATTAAATGAAAAATCTTGGATTAATCGTGATAGTATTATTCCATAAGATATTTATTGTAATTATTTACTTAATAAGTAGCCAGCTGTATGTAGTAAAGTGGGAATTGTAGAAAATAAAACAAAATAAAAATTATAGTTTTTATTATTACACATTACAATAATAATGCATAACCTTCAAACTTCATTAATTGATATAGTAATCCTAAGGTACTCCTATAGTTATTTAATTCGCTTGAAGACGTTTCAATACATTTAGCTACGATACATGAAGTATCCTTATATGATATCATAAGTTTTTCTATGCTAGATGTTACATGTTTTGACCTCCAGTATAAATGATCGCTCCCATAGTAAATCATAGAAAAGCATTCTGAGTGGCTTGCTATCTAATAAATGCATATCATCTAAGATTTCATCTACTTGATTATAACACAATGAGTTACCCCCCCTTTATTTCTGAAAAGTTTAATTAATGTCTTAACGCTATCGCCTAATTTAATTTTTCAGTACTTAATCTTCTAATAATTAATTCATTTACACAACAAAATTTTGAGAACACAATATATTCTAAAATACTAATTAAGTAATTATAGATTGATAAATAGTCTTTAATATATGACTTTCAAATCAAAGAACGCCTTCAGGGAGCTTTTCTAAATTTCATTGTTATTTCTGCGTAGTTCATATACCTAATTTGGTTTCGGAATTGCTCAAAATGATTCCCCCTAAGTAAAATTATATCCCCATGGTCTAGTGTCAGTAGAATTGAAATGTATTACTCTTTTGTCATCATATGGGCTAAGTATCACTTTGTTCCGTCGGATTGTGAATACATCATGTTTTTTCGATTGAATCAAGTATTGATATCGTTTTGTTATGTTATCATTAAATAATGCGCTTTTATAATCGTTTATTGTGACTTGCTTGACACTGGCTGCCGTAGAACCCTTAGACTTTTTTACCACCTTTTCATCTACAATGTAAGCATACATTTTTGCACGGAGTCCTACAAACTCTAACATAATTTTCCCATGGTTTTCGTCTTTCATTAGTCCAGGAACTTTCTTATTGGCCAACGGAATGCCGAAAATATTGTTAGGACTATAATCTGAAGTGTCGAATTTAGTAATATCCTCTTTGATGCATTCATAGATATCAGGAACGGAAAACGAGTAT